CCCATTTAGTCAGGTTAGATACTAATTCAATTATGTTTGACGAAAGTCCAAAATTATTAATTGAATTCCTCCAAACGTATGCGTTCAGCCTATTTGCTGCGCCTAGCAAACAGCGTTCCTATCGCGCGAATATTTTGCATGTTTGTGCGGATCACTAATCTGTTACACATTCAACCTTGTGTCTACACCTGTATAACTGTGTATAACAGTCAAATGTGTTGGATAAGGATGTCGGAAATTTGAAAAGGTATCGATATAATCGAATATTGACATGTAGGCCTAAAATGCGCGCCGTGATAACTTTTATCGACGTCAAAATGTATGGGAAAATCGATAAAATGGCGTGATAACTTCTTATCGCGGCGCGCATCTTAGGCCTACTGTAAAACCTGAAATAGTGATTTTTTTTGTCCGGACGAATGTCCGCAACTGTCATGATGTACCAACTCGTACCTTTAAATGCCGGAGTAATACTCAGTTATATGAAGGTAAAACAAACCAAAACATTTACGCAAATACATAATTTACTAGCTAAAAACAAAAAGAAAGTGAAACCAAAAAGAAAATGTGTTTTATACAGTGTTCGGTTAACAATTTTTCAAACTGCTAAAAATGCAGTGATCATAAGTGTCAAATAGATAGTTTTAAATGAATAAAGGCACCGATATATCGTTGGCTTCGTTGTAATTTCACTATCAGCAAAAAAGGTCTTATAATTTCAATGATCTTCTAAATATATTTATTATAATTATGGTCAGTTTTATGAAATGGCACTCAAGTACGAGATCAAGAATAAATTCAAAACTGTACTTATTTTGCCTCTATATTGAAATTCATTCAACTCAAAAATATTAAATCCTAAGTACCGTTTCATAATACGGGGCTATGAACTTAACATCTGATCCCATACACGATTTGTTCATTCAAAATGTACATACCATCCAAAACAACAGCCAGTGAATCAACCTGCTCCGGATCTTTTTCTTCAACTGCCTCGTCTTCAACTATAATCGTATCTGATGTCTTATCTTCATTTTCCTCAGCAATTGTAGCTTCTTCGACAACCTCAGTCATTTCAACTTGTCAACTCAACGATTAGTAAAGAAATGTTGAATTGTTGAACCAACGCGCGAACGTGAATGGTGATAGAGATATCGCGGACTTCATAACTGCCATATAACAGCCTCTATGACCTAAACACTTGCTAAAGTGCTAAAAGTGATAGAAACCACTAAACAGGCAGTAATATCGTTCGTAACGGCGTGTTATAAATTCTTTATGACATCTAATGGTCCTAGGTAATAGCAGAAGTTCCATTTCAGTCTATTAGATGGCGTGTAACGGACTTTAAAATAGAAAAACAATATAATAAAGAGCGATAAAACTACCGAAATACAACCTAATCAAATTGAGATGGAACAATATGCAACTTGATTCAAATACTCAAAATAACTAAAAATATTTTTGTAGTCGAAAGTGTTTCTATCAATACAAACCCAATCGGTTATGTAGCATGCCTAAATGATTATTTTATAGGCTTTTTAACAGAAAATTTACAAAAAGATTTAATCCTCATTGCTAAAAATCCCTGCCTCTATTTTCCGCCCTATGAGATTTATTTTGCAAAAAAGGTAACATAATACGTATCGTATAATCCTTCTATGGCCTAAAAATTTCTTTGATATCATATCAAAATAATGTATAAAAGAATCGGGAAGTGGAACTCTATACTTACTTAAGTTCATCTTACGCAAATTAATCAAGCAAAAGCACGAGATAGGCGATTTGTAGGCAATCTTTCTCCTTCATAGATTACAGAGGTACATAATAACATTATACTGAGTTACCTACCTCTTTTATGGTCGTGAAAACACATGAATTTGTATGTTTATATAGTCATACCCACCTTTCACCAATATTATCAAAAGATTACGTTTCAAATTTAATCAAATCGTAGGTATTATTTTGTAATTTATAATTACAAAAAATACCAATGGTCCAATAATACGCTACCAGGGTGGTATTTCAGCAAATAAAATCTAGTCATCATGCAAAAGCGTACTCACCTTTATCTTTACTCAAGTTGACAACGTTATTGAGAGCCGACGATAGCTTTTTCTGAGTATCCTCACTCACAGATTTGCCATTTTGATTCTCGTTTTGAGTCAAATTATTTTTAACATTTTTCCAACGATTCCCGAGGCCTTTATTCATTTTTATTTACATAATTCCAACTGTTTTATCAGATTAGATTTTTTGCACGAAGTGATAGACCAAAACTAAATTGTTATCGGTTTCACGGACTATTTGCAAATGTAGTTTTTCTTCGCAGCGTTAAATAGTTTTACGGATAGGTATAGCGCGATTGGATAGTATTGAAACTTGAAAAGATACAAGTAATCGTTTAGTGCAGAGACCGCTTTTTAAAATTGTACTTTGGTGTATTTTTTGGAAATAAATGCATTTTTTTTTTGCTTTATTTCATTTTTGTGCGTTGCGTTCCAAAACTGATTTAAAACAATAGTGACTGAGTTTCATGCACTGCTTCTTCTCAGCACTGGCCCATTTATTGTCCCGAAGCAGTGGTAGGGTTAATACTGGGACGTGTAAAAGTGCTTTTTTAAGCCTACTTTCATAAATAAATGTGTCGGCGCCGGACACAGATGCTGCAAATTATTATTGATGATTAATAGTACCAATCTTAATATTATGTTATCTGTAGAAATCTGTAGAGCAGAAGGTTTGTGATTCCTAAACGTAACACCCGACTGATGCGCAGAAAAAGATAACTGTCAATCAGTTGTGTCATGTCAAGTGTGAGCAGAGGGCTGCGAGGTTATCCTTGAAAGCGTATTGAGTTTGGTGGAACGTTAAATTGTAGGAAAAGTGGTTGTCAACCATCCAAGATATTATCTCCTTGCCCGTTAACCCACGCCAATGGAGATTCCACCCCTAGAGTTCCTTCTGATAGAGACCCAGTGCCTTTATCAGAAGTGGGATTCGAAGGGCACTATTCAAAGGAGATAAATCTTTCAGCATGCACACCTACGCTACGCAACTCATCAAGTTTTACATGGAGGATGCTGGCTCAGACATTGAGAGTTGGTGCAGGTTGACGGAAATTATTGTGATTGACGTAAACTGGAAGGGCCTTTGTGAGTGAGTGAGTTGAGGGGGCCGGGCCAAGGGCGCCCGGGCCACCCTGTTGCCGTGGTTGAAGGGGCTGTTTACGCCCGGGCCACGCTGGTGTAATGTTGGTTTCCTGATCGCACGGCTGCATGCCTGGATCAGCAGTAATAGTGGTAGTTGGGTTTGAGGTAAATGGTTGAAGGAGCCTTGGCTTAAGCCTTGCGCGTCGGGCCATGTTACCTAAACCCCGGTTTCCTGGTCGAAGGGGCCTCACGCCCGGGCCAGCTGTAATGTTTTGGTTTCCTGGTCGGGCTTCGCGCCCGGGCCAGCTGTAATGGTTTGGTTTCCTGATCGAGGGTCATCACGCCCTGATCAGCTGTATTTATTGTGATTCTACGATATGATATTCGCACGCTCTGTAGTCAGGAATGGACGAGCTGTGATAATAAGAAATTGAATGTTTACAGATGGACAAACCCAGGACTAAGCGCACGAGGCCGTGCGATAGTCAGGCTGGCCGTGTCGGCGCCGGACACAGATGCTGCAAATTATTATTGATGATTAATAGTACCAATCTTAATATTATGTTATCTGTAGAAATCTGTAGAGCAGAAGGTTTGTGATTCCTAAACGTAATACCCGACTGATGCGCAGAAAAAGATAACTGTCAATCAGTTGTGTCATGTCAAGTATGAGCAGAGGGCTGCGAGGTTATCCTTGAAAGCGTGTTGAGTTTGGTGGAACGTTAAATTGTAGGAAAAGTGGTTGTCAACCATCCAAGATATTATCTCCTTGCCCGTTAACCCACGCCAATGGAGATTCCACCCCTAGAGTTCCTTCTGATAGAGACCCAGTGCCTTTAAATGAGTTTTATGAGTTTTTTTATAATTCTTATTTTTATAAATATGTATTTATTATTATTTTTCAGCTGCAATGCAATGACAAAAATGTTAATTTTAGAGCTCATAGTTTTATAATTTTTATTTTTTCACCTTTATTTTATTCCACGACAGTTTATTCTTTGTTATCATGCATATTAATAACTCAATTTTATCGGCTGTCGCTTATTGCCGCAGTCTCAAGATTGTCTGATCTGCATATAAATCGATTCAAGTGTCGTATAAGGGTTTTACAAAAGCTGTATAAGGTCACGATCGACGGGACCATTAACGCCCCGACAAATTTGTATAGCCGATACTAAACGCTTAGAAAACTATTATATTCCGAATGTGAATAGGCTTGCTATTCATATGGAAACTGATGGAAGTGGTTCATTGTTGCAGTGCGAATGTACTCGGGCTTGACTTGCAATAATTTTTGAGGGGATTTCGCTGTTCTTTGACCTTACGTTGAGTCATAACAGACATCTATGGCGACTTACAAAAATATTCCGATTAATATTTAGGTAGGTAAACCTCTTTTCTTCTTTTATCCTTATCGACGAAGCTCTTGGTCTGCACATCTCACCCACCACAGGCAACTCGCTATCTTACGCTATCTGTCGGAACACAACAATGTTTTATTGTTGTTGGTGGGCGCACCAGCGCCGACAAGGCAGTCAGGAGTCGAAGTGGCCGAAATCATCATCATCATCATCATCATCATCATACATTGTTGTTATGGCCTTAATCCATAGCCTTTACATAATAAGCTTCTCCCTCCCAATCTTTGCCAGACAGATTTATGAGAAGATTCACAAAGGTTTAATTACGTGTCATTTCATTCATGATGAATACTAATGTCTGTCACTATAAAAACTAATAATGTCATGTCTGCCTGAATCTGACATTAAGCAAAATAAATAACTTGAAATATTTTATCGGTTTTAATTGTGAAGAATACATAATAATTAAACAAAATGGACGACCGAATGGAATTCCAACGTGACACGACAAGAAATTATGATGACACAACATCGAAGTGGCAAAGGAGAGCGGCCAGTGCCATGTCATTTGAGTCTGGGGAGTCCGGCAACTCGTACACTCCACAGGATCAGCACTTGCAATATTTTCCAGAGGTAAAAATCATCTTATTTTTATCGTGTTGACAACAAACCTACAGCCCGACGGATTAGCAAGCTGAAGTGGCAATGGGCAGGGCACATAGTACGCAGAACTGACGACCGATGGGGCAGCAAGGTTCTGGAGTGGAGGCCGCGTACCGGAAAACGCAGCGTGGGACGTCCGCTGACAAGGTGGACCGACGACATCATAAAGGTAGCAGGAAAGCGCTGGACGCAAGCCGATACCAACCGGGTAACATGGGGGAGGCCTATGTTCAGCAGTGGACGTCCTATGGCTGAGATGATGATGATGAAGAACAAACCTACATATTGTCAGCCCAAAACTCTGCTACAAGAGTGGCGTTGTCAGTAGCAATCGTTTAAATCTTTTTGTGTGTAGTTGTTTGGGCTCGCAGGGCACGACACTATGTGCTTCATCGACTGGGGAACACAACCACATTGGTACTTCGTTTGAACCATCTGAGAATCCCCACCTGAACAGATTGTCCTTACTACGGCCGACCTGCGTCCGAAGTCTATAATATGTATAAAGACTTCCAGGTAAGCCAGGGGAGCTCATATCCAGGCGGATGACTCTCCGAAATAGGGACGAAAGGGCAGGGAAGAACAATCATTTTGCGACCAAATTTTAGCATTGACAGTGCAGTTTACGTTACGTGTGCAAAAAGGCATTAGGGACTTAAGTGACCTGAGAATTTTGACTTGTAACAAAACCGCCAACAGTCTTGGTGTTAACGTCAGTTACCTACATTGATTTTATTTTCAGAAAGAGACACGCTCATACAGACGATTTGTGCCTGCGTCGTGGCATGAAACTTTGTCTTACTACCGTGGGTATGTAACAGCAGCAAGCAAAACGCAAATATACTCCCCACAATATTACCCTTTTAACATGTAAGTAATAACGTTGTTTTAACCAAATTCCGACCACTGCTGGGCAAAGACCTCCACCAAAGATTTTCACAACGACTATTCCGCGTTGCCTGCATTCAGGCACATCCCGCAATACTCATATCATCGGTCCACCAAGCAGAATACTTGCCCACATATTATCATCCTTTTCGTGATCGTAATTCAGGAACTTTTCTGCCTCAACGGCTTAGTAATGACTGCTTGCTATGTGTCTCACCCACGAAGTTCTTAATTGACTATTTTTATGTGACTTTTTATCAGTTTAATCGGGACATCTTTATTGTGCAATAATTAAAATTGTATTATTATTATGTTTGTACGCTTAGGAGCTCACGGGTCAAAAGTGGCCCGGTCCTTTATAAGGCTTGCGTGGGGATACAGATCCAACACGTAGAGGCCGTTTTCAGCGTAAAATAATCGACAAAAGTGAAAGTGGTGCACATGCTGGATCCAGTCTCTGACTGTATCATGGGATGTAGCCAAAGACCATCCCCAGCCTTTGCACAGCCCACAGGAGCTATTGCAGTTATTGGAGAATGGACTAGGGTTATGGATGAAGGATAACATAAATGAAGGATGGACTTTTAATTATTTCAGATTCTTCTGGCAAAACCTAATGAACCTGCTCTTCAAAAGTCTGCCTCTTACTTATGTTTACATGTTTCTTGCTTCCTATTCAGCCAATCACCACTTCTTTTTGCCTAAAATGATCCCTATTGCGTATGGTTAGTTGAATTAATTGAATAATGTAAAATAGATTCGCTTTATTAATTCTAATTTATTTTAGTTTTTGTCTAGAAATGGAAAATAATTTTACTTCCAATAAGTTGGAATTTTATTGATGTTTGAACTAAGAAGTAAGTTATATGAAAATTCAATATCTTTACTTTTAATCCCAATTTATAAATCGTTGCATTTTAGGTGTAATCATAATTTTCATTATAACGGCATTTCTTGAAATAATGCTTTTTATGGATTTTATAATTTTTTTGTTTCACTATACAATAAGAGGCTTTGTGGATAAGAACCCTTGGCACAGGTAAAAATATTTACTCATTTAACTTTTTAATTTGGTCAACCAATTAGATATACAGGGTGTCCCAAAAAGTAGTATCAAGCCGAAGCCCAGAGGTAGAACATCACTAGGGCTATTCAAATCACGATAATTTTTGAATTATGATTATGATTGTTTAAGATTTCTGTGCGAATAGTCAAGTTACATGCCAGATTTTTTTAACTATTATTAGATGAATACTAAGCCTAGCTGATTCAGAAGTATTTACATCCATAACACGATTGTAAACAAAAACCTGTGTGTTTAAAAAAAAACATAACTCGAAAACTATCAAAAGTCACGGTGATTTGGGTAGCCCTAGTGATGCTCTCTGGGTTCGACTTGACACTACTTTTTTGGACACCTGTATTATACGTAGGTATATTTTACTCATTAGATCTAAGATTAAAGACACTGATGTCTCATTTTAAATCTTACAGGTGTGATAATAAAGAGCCCATCAATATGGGAAGTTACAATATTTATGGATTAGATGTCAGATTGTATGGCGTATGCGTTACGTTGAAAGAATATCAAGAGTTGCAAGAAGTGTTTGAAATTTATTATCCATTCCCAGCCCCGACGTTTTATTTCATGTACGTAGTTGTCAAAAATGAATATGTTTAAAAATTTGATGTTCAGTAAATTTTTCTGTCAGTTTTTATATTCTGTCATATAAAAAGTTATAGAAGAAAGAAAATACTGTCAATATCCCACCAAAAACATAAAATGTAAAAAAAAGAGCCAAGTTCAATACAAAAATTATGCTTGGCTGTGGGCTTCGAAGCAAAAAGAATGGTAGTAGGTTACAGTTCCTTTGCTTAACCTTGGCTTGAGAAAACGAAAAACAATATATAGACTCTTTTAAATTCAATGATTAACATTAACAAAGTAACTCAACCAATCAAAGGATTGAGTTTTGGAAGTAACTTCACGATGCAAGCCTTAATTACTAATAATGGCATTTTTATTTTCAGACAAACACAATATGCGTTGCTTTCTCACTCGAACTCCGATCGTATATCGCAATCATTCATATATTTTGTAATATTGTGGATTTTCATAAACCTATTTTATTGTCAGCTGTTTAGTAAAATGCTTTGGAAGGTACGTAGTTCTTTATATTTTAACCTACAGGGAGGAAACTAAAGTTTTAGTCCGTCAATAACATTCTCAAAAAATATTGGACACAGATTTTTATTTGACCATCAAATATGTAAATTACGCGTGTTGTAATTTGTCACAAACTGCTACACTTTTAAGCAAGGCTTGGCGTCACAGGCCTCTTCTTTTGAACTTTGGCGCGCTGTATTTCTTTCAATTTTCATTACTTTGAAAAAGTGAAAATTACATTTCGAGAATTTTTTGATATGTTCACCGACACGGACCAATTCAAACTCTTTCTTTTTGATCCAGAAAATATGCCTATTCTTTATTATCCGTTTTGTTTGCAGATTCATCACATTTTTCATTGGATTACGAATATAATTTTTATCATAGTATTATCACATTTAATGCTTCGTGATTTATTTGTAAAGCTCGAGGATGACAACTCGTCACAGGAAGTTGATCCGACTACGAAGCTCAAAAGTGATCTTATGTGGGTTAGTTTGTTTTGTTTGTTGTTATTACTTTTGTGTCCATGTATGTTACTACTTAATAATAAATCAGCCCTTAGTGTCTACGTGAAAGTCTCATCCGTTGAGATCTAAAACCGGGGTTTTTATATGTAACACTAGCTATCCGCCCGCGGCTTCACCCGTGTGAAATTTTGTCTGTCACAGAAAAAGCTCGCGCGTGCCTGTTTCAAAAACCGGGATAAAACTATTATATGTCCTTTTCCGGGACTAAAACTATCTCTATTTCAAATTTCATCAAAATCGATTCAGTGGCTTAGGCGTGAAAGCAAGACAGAGTTACTTTCGCATTTATAATATTAGTATAGAAGTATAGATTTGCCCGATTCGATCGCTGTATCACCATCATTATTATCACCGTATACGTTCACCATTCATTCATTCATATCCTTCCAAACTGCCTTCTAGTTGCGGCCCTTGTATGATCGCGTATCACACTGGCAACATTTTGTTGTCACTTGCTATCTAATTATTTAATTTTTTTTAGCATAATGACCTGAATATGATAGCTCTATCTATGGCTACACCGCCAATCGTACACATTTTGACCTCAAGAACAAATAAAGAGGTATGTTTATTGTTATATTCTTCACACACTGTAACACCCGTATTCACAAACGATGCTTGCTTAAGTGAAGCAGCAAATAGAATGCACAGTGTTGAATAGAGCTCTGTGATTGGTTCGTATGTAACCCTTCGAACCGCTATCGAATTACCCGAAAGTTACCATTGCCGCGTTTGGCGTAGACGTAGCGTGGGCAGGCCTCCTACTAGGTGGACCGACGATTTGGTAAAGGTCGCGGGAAGAGCCTGGATGCGGGCAGCGCAGGACCGTTCATTGTGGAAAACTTTGGAAGAGCAGCCTTTGTCCAGCAGTGGACGTCATTTGGCTGAAACGAACGAATGAATTTAGGTTTTGGAATTTAAAATGGTATCAACTCCCAAAATCTTTATTACAGATTAACGCGAATAGAGACAGCAGTATATTGTTAATTTCAAATGGCATCTACAGCATATTGAAGGGATTGCTATCGCATAAAGTAAAAAAGTATTCTCAATCAATTTTAAAAGAGACGATTGACATGGAAATTCGTGAGTTATCAGGATTACCAATACCATACTGTTAGGCTTTTGTGTTATTTGGAATGACTGAAAGCCCTCCTCAATAAATGGATTAGTTCCTGAGACCAAACGCAACGAACCAAAAAATCAAATTATACTAGTAGATCGTTTCAACCACGAAGATGCATCCTGCCATTCTTCCGCTGATGTTTGAGTGTTATCGGTACTCGCTAAAATTCATGAGTGCACACGCACACTACAATAATGACGCTCGGATTGCTCGGATCAAACTCCCCGCACCCTGCGCTTCCCTCAACCAAAAATTCGTGGGTGAAACGATCTTTAATATAGTTATTAAACTAATTTTATTGTTATTTTCTTTTTAAATATTTTTTCAGTACACGAAGAGTTTTTTAAAATATGGACAGTTTACTTTTCAACCTTTTTCTTGGGTGATTTATTTTCAATCACGTTTTTTGGCATTCATTTCATTGTGGAAACTTTAAATGTTGTAAGTACAATAAATACAATATTACAAAACTATGTATTTTTTAAAAAATTAGTCACATGAAGTAGCGTAATGTATGCAACATTACGCTTCTATTGTCCACTAATTTCTGCAAGTAGCCTTTAAAAAAGCACTTTTACACGTCCCAGTACTAACCCTACCACTGCTTCGGGACAGTAAATGGGCCAGTGCTGAGAACAAGCAGCGCAAGAAACTCAGTCACTATTTGTTTGAATGTTTTCGTAATTTACTTTATTTTTTTATTACTTTCAGGTTATTACCTCCCAATGCTTAATAGAAGCCATCGTTTGTGAGTGGCGTGTGGCAAAACGACTTTTTGTGTCATTTATCTTTTTTATATTGGGGATTGTCGTATTTTATCTTTCCACACACGAAGTAAGTTTTTTAGGCAAAATACAAGATACCATGCTCTATATTGAGGATCTGTTTCCTGTAGTAAAGATTAGTTACACTGGATACGTTCTGCAGGCAGCAGTCAGTGGCCTAATTCACGTATCAAAACTTCAACGACATGCAAGCGATTTCATCGCTGAAGTCACTTTTCGTATTCACGTATTAATCGCCCGATTTTGTTTCGATTTCATATTTAGGCCTATTCGATCATGCCTTCGCGGTATTCACGTATTCTGTAATAGTCAAACGACATTTTGTCTATTACAGAATACGTGAATTAGGCCACAGGTCAAAATGCGGGTTGCGTTCCTTTAACCTGACCGCTGCCCTCAGAACGCATTCAGTGTGGCAAATCCTTTATCGTGGATTTTTATTATATTTTAGTCCAGGATAGGATTCTATGTGTACACTCAACACGTGGTCACCCTGCTGGAGATATTTGTGATATTCTTCATGTACCCACTGGGCCGACTGATCAACGATATCACCTTTTACACCGGAGTCATTCCGACGCAAATGAGGCTTTATAACTTGAAAGGAGTGCCTTTGTATTTTGCGGTAAAATTAGCTTTTGACTTTTTCTTAGCTACTAGAGGATTGGGACGTAAGCCCGGGTTCCACTAAGATAGCGGAGCGGAGAGGAGATGTTCAAATAATGAGATCAGATTGGTTATTCAAAACATTTTTCCGCATTTAACTTCACACCGCGCCCGCTCCTCTGTCAAATTCTATAGAAACATTTGATGACCCAATACTTCTCCGCTCTGCTCCGCTTTGATCCGCCTTAGACGCGGAGCGGAGAGAAGAAGTGGAAATAATAAAATCTGATTGGTTCTCCAACACACTTCTCTGCTCCGCACCGCTTTTGTGGAAACCGGGCCTAAAAAGTACATATTTTAGTTTATTTTGTCATATTTATTCAAAAAAGGATTTGTAGATTTTAACACTAGAAGTGCCGAAGATTACGACCCCCCTAAAAGCGCCGCTGGGTCAATTTTGTCCCAGCATGTATTTTGTAACATTTTTTAAGTTTCAGGCATGAATATTATGGTTAAAACTATTTGTAGTATCCTTAAAAAAAGGTTTATCTATGTGGTTAAAACAATATGTACTTAATTCTTTAAAAATATAAATGTATTCAATTTTAATTTGGAATTATTAAAATTTAGATATTTTTGGTTTCATTTAAAAATAGTCACATATTACGTGGTGGTATACTGTATTAAAATCATGAAATTACTACTTTAACTAGTCATTATTATTTTTAAAGAAAAAATAAATATCTTAAAAATAATAGTGCACATTTTGCACAAAGTTTTTTTGTATGGTTTTTTGTCTATCTGGTGTACTATGTGTTTAGGAATTTCTATAGGTATGGTTATTTTTCTGTTATCTGTACACAAACAATTAAGTTTTTGACCAATTACAATGAAAATTATGTACGTTTAATCTTCAAAATTTTATAAGTCACACATTTTAAAAATGTATCAAATCATACAATGTATGAACTGGCTTATGTCTAGAGGCCATCTTCCTACTAATATTATAAATGTAAAAGTTAATAAATATTGATGAATTGAAGGATGGATGGACTGATGAATGGATAGGATGGATGAATAGGTGGATATATGCCTGGAACTTGAACTAAGTGAGTATGGATTCATGGTTAGATCGATGGATGTTTTTTCACTCTTTTACGCAAAAAATACTAAGCCGATCTTAATAAAACTTTGCAATTTTATTGTTAATACTTCAGAATAACATAATATAGGCTATAATTTAGAATAATGTTCAGTTATTTGGTCAAAAAGCAACGATAAGTGTCAAGAAATTAGGTCTTTCTATGATAAACTTAATTTCTCACGGGTGAAGTCACAGGCAAAAACTAGTACAATATATATATTTACATTTCTGCATTGTCACGAGTCACCTAAACTCTCCTCACCTCTCCACTTTCGTATCTCCTCGAAAAAAGGACTCTTCATCGAATTATTGTGGCAAATACCAGGGTGGGACAAAATTGACCCAGTGGCGCTTCTAGGTAAAACCGATTTTAAAAATTTTTCTATTAATGTTATATTATCAAAAACATTAAAAAATGATAAAATTCAATAAATCAGAAAAAGTCAAAAAGTTTCATGGACTTTCGTTGAAAAATAAAAAAGTTAGAGCTGATCAAACTCGCGAGTGGGACAAAAATGGGACGGCGGCCTTTCTAGTGTTAAACCATATTTAAGATTAAAGTTTCAAATATGTTTCCAGTGGAAATTATACATCTTACTTAAATTCAACACTAACTGGATGAAGTATATCGAGAACGATGACAATGTGTATCCAGACCATCTCGATTATTATTTCGACGTCAGCATAGGCATTTTCTTATTCATCGGGATATTGTATGCGGCTGTTAAAAATTTGTATTTTTATAAAAAGGTAAGATTGTGTAATATAGAATATTTTTTACTCATAATATTATAGCTGTTTGATACCCTGTTGTGCATTTGATACCCTGTACAGTAGGTATTAGATAAGTGCTATTTTCTTACGATTAATTTTAACAAAAAAATTAAAGCGACTCCAAGAAACCAACGGGAATCGTATCCGTTAAAAATATAAATGTGTGAGACTAAGGCTGAAGTGCCACCATTTTTGATGATTTAGAATGAACTTTTAATTTCTGAATTTTAATTAATTAAGGCCTGATTTTTCAAAAGCCGGATAACTTTTAAAACTGAAGGATAAGTTTGGCATACCTATTGACAGTTTCAGTATGGGAAACGTGTCAAAATGACAAGTTTATTCTTCAGTTAAAAGATATCTGACGATTGAAAAATCTGCCCTAATTATACTATTATTTATCAGACGTGGCGATCTTTGCTTGTACCAGAATCGAATTGGGGTCCAGAATATTCTATACGGCAGTTGAGGAAGCAATACGACTCGAGAGAAGTAAGTTATCGAACTTATTTTTAAGTAGATAGGTGTTGATTTTGTTTGACATCTATGATGGAATATCGAAACTTTTATCATCAGTGTGCTTACCATTAGTTTACGTTAGGTGTGCTCGCTAGCGACTGCGTAAAAATGTCATTAAATGTATGACAAATTGTACAGCGCCCCCAGCGGCTACTTTCAAGAACAAAAATCTGAATAGATTTTTTTGACGCACTCGCTAGCGAGCACACCTAACGTAAATTCATGGTAAGCACACTGTCCAAAATTATTACGTATTGAGACAAGGTAACAGTCCGAGAGGGGACCGTAGAAACCCTACGTCATTATTTTGATACTAAGATAAGCTCCATGGCACACGTTCAGAAAACTTACGCTATGCTTCGAAAAATGAATTATTAAAATCCGATTTGGCCGAAAGTACCAAATGTAGATTATAGTCTATCCAATATAGCTTGATTAGAATGACAGCTGCCATCAAAAGTAACGACATAACATTGTAGTAGCGATCAATGAGAGCTAAATATTGGCGGACAAGAAATAATTTACGTCTGACCTACAAACAATGTTTTCGACGGCAGTGCTTCCAATAAAAATGTTAATTTCGTGTAAATGCAGCGTTAAATTACACCAATAAGTAGTAGGGTAAACCGTATAGCTATTGCCCACTTAATGATTTCAAACACATTGAGATGAAAAATTAAAGAAAGTATTTTAATAATCGACCATTTATGACTTTTTTCTTATAACTCAATAAACTGTTAAACAGAATATTAACAGTTTTTAGTTAAAACTTACGTAACTTAGAAAATATTGAAATAAATTTAAAATCTTCCAAAAAGTACAGTCATTGCCCATTACTTACACTAATTGCCCACATCAAAGCACAGTAATTGCCCAGTATCTTAAAACAAAATAATCAATTTTAAAATGACAAAATAGGCTTTAAATAAACAAAACAAAACGTTAAACTTAAATTCTAATAGTACAGTCTTCAAAATTTCAAAATAAATTGCGATTGGCCTTATTAACTATATTATCAAATATTTCTTGAGCTGATGTTGATGAGTCAGAATCGGTAGAGACAGAATCATCTACTTCAAAACATAGATGACGCAAAAATTTGAATTTTATATGTAAATTTTATATGTATTTATTTTTTATCTTCTTTGATATCAGTTAAAGTGGTTGCTCAGAATGTTTAATTAGCTGTTGGTTATTCTTCCCTAAAGTTGTATCTATTTCCTTACAATTATCATTTTCACTAGTAGATTTAACGTAGGATTTTCATTTTTTTGTATTTGCGTTTGAATTTTTATAAATTTTTTCAAGCCAAACCATATTTTTCAGCAATTTATCTTGTAGATAAATTGTTGGATACATGTTGTATAGCTTCGATCGCTTTTTGCAAATTTTCTATGCTATATTGAACTTTTGGAGTCTTTGGCATACTGAAAATGAAACATTAAAAGCCATTTCAATATTTATGCCTGTAAATTGCAAAACAAGTCTAGCAATGAGCAACTTAAACACTGCTACTGCATGGTGGCAACACTCTAATAATAATTGCCCTGGGCAATAACTATACATTAACATATGGCAATAACTGAAATGATGGTGGGCAATAACTAAAAATATACAGATTTACGTGCAGTGATTACCCACCCTTAAAATGACCGTTAGAAATCAAATTTAATCAGTTATTTTCATTGATAATGGAGAAAACACTTATAATTTCATCATGACTATACACCATTAGTTGAATATTAAATAACTTGCAAAAAAAATTTAACCTCTAAGCAAGTAATTCCTTAGTAAAATTGTTAAAGTCTTTACCTGTTTGAGTAACATTTTCACCCGTCTTGACAAAATCCGCCATAACTGTTTTTTAGTGTTTCCTATTGTAAATTTTAAATCTACTGTAGATTGATCTCGAAGCCATCTACTTAGTAGGTAAATTCAAATTTAACTAGAGTGATTCAAAGTCAGCACCTGACAATATTATTCTTAAAGCGGGCAATCACTACCAGTGGGCAATCACTCTCTGGTTTACCCTAATTCGAAATTATAAAAATCGAGCTAGAGTATTAACGACGTCTCTACAAGGTTATCTCGAGTTACAAAAATGTTAGTGATGGGACATATCGACAAATGTCATATTAAATTAAAACTATTTTTTTAACATATTTAACAAAAAAAATTTCTAACTAATTTTTTAACATATTTAAGTCAAGTTATACGTTTATCTAAATGTTCACTATTAAAAACCAAAAAACGTTTCATTCTTAAATAATCAAACATTGGAAATCAATCACCGGTATTTTTTTGGGTATTCATAGCACCGTTGCTCTAGAAGAGATGCCCACCGCCCCTCTAGCGAGAGGAAAAAACCACTGAAGAACACTGATGATAATGACTACGACTTAGGTTGTACGCCCTTGCGCGCCTTGACATGAATTTAAAATTTTACTGTCTTAAATTATAATTGTCATTTTTATGAATAAATAAAGAACTTATCGATACATCTATGTGAACCGTACGAAACATACCCAGCACTAGTCACATTCGTTTGATAGCTGTCATTCTAATCAAGCTATATTGGATAGACTATAGATGACACTACAATATTCGACCATTACGAACTCCTAAACGAACCTGCGGAAATTCATTGAGTTTGGGTTCATTGGATTTGTCTTTTTGAGCACTTAGTGTTAGATGATGTCCAGGGTCCTGATGATGGAGTCGGGAGGTGTCCATAGGAACTCCTAAACTGGCATCGAGTCTTTTAGTGCAGTAATTAAAAGCGTGTTTTTAGTTTTTTAAACTATTAATTTATTTTAAGTTTATTCTTTCACAGTACATCGGATCACAAGCGCCTCGCCCTTTGAGTCGCTACATGATTTACAAGGCCGAAGCTAAAAAATACTCGCTCAATATCAAATATCCAAGTGTGACGTCAGACGCGTCTTCGGAGGTCAGATATGAGAACGAAAAGAAGAATGTGTAAAATAAAATTTCACAATCAGTCATCAATATCAATTTAGCCAGTGGCTATCCACCGTTGAATGGACCTCCGGACTCTAAAGAACGCCGCAGAGTACGGGACTATTCCCACCTTTCTTTCCCACCGCTGCAACTCCTATGTAGCCAGGATCTACAGATTAACCGTCAATAAAAACCCAACCAGTGAAGGTCAAGTTTGTCCCGGGGGAAAGTTAACTGTCATTACGTAGCCGCTACGCTCTCCCACTTGTTTTCATTCGGCTGTTTTAATCTATCTTCTTGAAGTCGTCAGTCCATTAAGCAAAGTTTTCGTTTAAGAGCACATTTACTTTGATTTCGTCGGTTCTCCAGGTATGGTCTTATCAAAATCTAGAAAAAATCCTTCCAAAAAACTTTGTTTAAACAAGTTTTATCTGTATTAAATGTAGGCTTTTTTGTATGTGTTTTAATGATTAAATATTATATTGATATAGATTTTTTTCTTCAATGATACGGCAAGAAAATCAAACGTTTATTTTTTACGTTACTCTCAAAGAATTATTTATTCACAGAGATAATTTGTAGTACCTACAATAAATGTGGTCTTAAGTTAAAGAGGTGCAGCTTATCTCACCAGCGCAGCTGGCATGTGAATTTGTGCAAAATTTCCTGAGATTGCTTTAGATTATCTATTGTTTTGTTGCTTAAGACTACTACTTGTTTCACCATTTTTATAACTATACTTACGAGCAAAAGTAAGTATGGAATCACCCCTTTGTGTTCCGAGCGGTCTTAAGAACTGAATGAATATGTATTGTATGTATCTATGGTATCAATTTAAAGTTTATAATATCACCTTTAAAATGGTGCCATTTTTATTGATCTTCTATTAGTCATTTAGTTCTTATGATCGCTCGGAATAAATAGGGTGATTCCATATTTTTGCTCGCGAGTGTAAATAAGTATTGTGAGATTTTTGAGGTGATTTGATTCTTATCATCATAAAGTTCAAGTACGTACTTATTAAACCATTTGCAGGCAATTATTAATTTTATAGCGGCTTTTGCTCGAGGTGAAGTAAATTTAAAATTCTAATAAATTCAATCAATCTCGTGACGGTTTATGGGGATTTATATATTATCGCCTCGTTAAGTCTTAAATCGGGATTTCCAATCACATTTCACAATTTGGTAACCATGACAAGATGCGTGAAAACCCCGGATTTTGGTTATTTAAACAGGTTTTTATAGAACTTCGACCGGCATTGGCCTATGACTTAATTTTTTTATACCCGGACAGCAAATGAAACCCCATCCGGACGCTCACCGGACGCCCTCTAAACTAGAACAAGTCCGGGGAAACCCGGACGGATGGCAACCCTACCTACGAGTAATCTCTGTTTAACTAAAACTAAAGATGGATTGCACCATCTTACTTGAACAAAAAACATTAGTTTTCGTTATAGTTGTCGTCAAAGTTAGGTGGTGTAACTTAGCCTTAAAAATAGCTAATTTACAGTTTCATTTTTATGTTGCATCATTGATTGGGAATTTAATCGACTCGTTCTTCGACTTTATTTTAAACAACAATAATTTCGGTGCAAAGTTATTCGAAGTTACAACCAATAGAGTAATCGTTAATCGGTACGAGTAAATACTTAGTTTAATTGGCAAATCTTTCGTCGGCATAATATGACGTTGCGGATAACAACCCTTAGCCTAGGACAGGGATGGCGAACCTTTATGTACCAACGTGCCCTTTTTCCGAAAAAAACCTTACTCTACAGTGGCACTAACTGATGAGGGCAAATACGATAGCCCTTATATAAAACTCATTATTTTATAGAGAATTTTGTGATAGGTGGGCGTGCCCTAAATATTGTGGCGCGTGCCATCAATGGCACGCGTGCCATTGGTTCGCCATCCCTGGCCTAGGAGCAGACCACCTATTTTTAGTTGGCCGATAGTTGGGTCTGGTTGGGTTGTTTGTTAATCAGTATGAAGATGTATGAAAGTGCGCAGTTGCGCACATTACACCGATTTGGTGTCGGTCGATTCTTCATACAAATTAGAATCGGGTCCAACTATCGGACAACTAAAAGTTGGTGGTCTGCGCCTAGGCTTAGCGTTACTGGTAAATCTTCTAGGAATGAATATTTCAAAATTGGCTTAGGGAGCTATAAAAAACAAAAGTCTGTGGAACACTAAAAAGTCTCTCTATAAAGTACCGAAAATATGTGAAAATATCTCCAAGTTGATATTTATTTAGGCACCATTTGGATGCTTTAAGACGAAGCTGCTTCGCTTAGCTCAAAGTATTGCTTTAGGCAGCATCCCAGCAATTTCGGCTGAACATGACTGCGCGTTTGTACAGCGCTGATATTACTTCTAGAGATGTTTGTTCAACTCTCTAGTGTTGATGAGCTATCGACGGCTGAATAATCGTTATCGTATGCTAAGTATAAAAACCTCAAACACAGTTCGTACATTAATTTGAGACATTTAATTTTGTGCATTTTTTTATGGACTTTTTTTTTGTAAAAGGTGTGTTTTATGCTACGATTTTAATGTTCGGGTTGATGACTCTTTGTCTGTCACAATGTAATGCGAGGTGTAGACTAGCTATAAAATTTGCAGAAGTTGACTTCCACGAGCTATTACCACTGTGTAAAACTTGCAAAAGCTGGCTTGTCACAGTTATTTACGCAGTAGTAAACAGCTTGTGAAAGTCAACTTCTGCAAGTTTTATTGCTAGTCCTGTATAGTTAAATCCTGCTTTAGGATTTTCTGCACAATGGTGGGGGTTAGTTCGGTGACCTACATTATTACTTAATCTCGTGAATGCATATGATAGCATCAGTTACAAAAATACTAATCACAAATGAATAGGAAAACCAAATGAATCTTTATTTTTACCCGCAACAAAGAAACTCTTGAATAAAATGTCTTGATATCTACGATAAGTTTTAAAGGCACAACACTAAGAATGCAACATCGCGAAAATGTGTACCATTTGGTAGTGTTAGTGGTAGGTAGGTAACTAGAAATCCACTGAAATAATAAATAAGCTAACTTTATTTCTATAATTGTATTACATATTATTTAGTTAGCCAGTTTCACTTGACTACAGAGGTTATTAGTGAGCCACATTTTTGCAAGTCATAAATTGATTGATGTGGTAATATTTGGTTATTTGTGAAATGGACATGAAATGACTTGGCAATTCTCGTAGTGTTGGGATTAATAGCATTAGGTGTTATATTATTATTTTCTTTTACGGAGTATTTTAATATTATTTGTGTTTTTTTTTTAATTTGGGCATTTTGAATTTCAGGGAGAGCGCGGCGCTATCGGTATACGCGTTGCTCTCTCCTACGTGATTTAGAATTTTAATTGTTGAAAGATTTTAGGTTGCTAACTATGTTTAAAAATGTGGGTGGTAAATGTTGTTATAGAATCTTGCTTAGTTATAATTTGTTGGAAATTGAATGGGTCAATGTTGTAAATTTGGCAAACTATATTATGGCTAAGTCTTGTTGATTAAAATCTTGGGCAGTCCTGAATAATAATAATAATAATAATAATAATAAAAACGTTTATTGCTTTTTAAACATAAAAGGAATTACAAGAAACAAAATTACATTATAAGCTTAAAATAACTTATGCTAAAAGAAAAAGCAAATGGAGGTGGCTCAGCATGTGCCGCCAAGGACTACCTGCCCTAGACAGCGCTGGTTTTCAGCCACCACCATTTCTCTTAAGGTGTTGGTCGAGAAAATGGTCACGGGGGCTTCGAAAAGAAAATGAGTAAAAAAAATAAATAAACATTTAAACTGACTAAAAAAATAGAAAAAATTCATCATCAGGACCCTGGACATCATCTAGCACTAAAGTGCTCGAAAAGACAAATCCAACGAACCCAAACTAGATGTAATTCCGCCGTTTCGTTAAGAGTTCCTATGGCCACTTCCATACTCCATCCAGCTCAATGGTACCATAATATTGCATTGTCATCGTACTTACACAAGTATACCAAATTTCAGCTCAATTGGTTAAGGAGAACTGGTTTTAAATTCAGTTGCAAGATTTATCCCATACTAACTAACAAGCGCAGTGCTTGTAAAAATGGTACGCATATCTTTTTTGCGACTAGTTTTCTTAGAGTATTATACCATTTCGGAATCTTGGATAGTTGCGTCAACTTTATAAAAAACTTGCCGCAGTAGTGTTTATACTGTTTTTTAACAAAACGACGAGTCAAAGTGGAGTGTAAGTAAAAATCGTTCAAAATTTTAAGGAAATATCATATTTTGATTAACTTTTGGGTAAAAACTGCAAGGGTTCTGAGGGTTTTAAGAATTGGGGTGGACAGCAGCACTACTTAAGTTGCCGATACAAACAAAAAAACTGAAGTATTTGAAAAATTGTAGTCGTGGTAATGTAAAATATCATAAGGGGTGTCAATTTTCGACGAATTTCATAATTTATTGTGTAACTTAAAAAATAATCGAGTCAGATTTTTTTTCTTATTTTTCCTAAAGTAGTCATGACTATGTCCACCCTGCGGCGCCGGCTTATCCTTGAATTTTGGGACACGTTGTATAAAAGAAAGTCGTGTTAGTTACTTCGCTTATAACTCAAGAACGGCTGAACCGATTTAGCTGAAAATTGTCAGGGAGGTAGTTTAGAGCCAGGAGAAGGACATAGGATACTTTTTATCCCGTTCGAAATAAAAAAAAGTCTGCTTATTTATTGCTATTAAGGCGGAACAAAGTTCGCCGGGTCAGCTAGTTCGTAATAAAACTAGCCTATTGGTGAATTACAATCTAAAACTATATCTATCTCCTAATATTATCTTACCTAGATATTTGTTTTCAGGTTGAATTCGTCGAGCAGCTGCTCGCTCGTATGTGTCACTACCAACACGGCCACATCAACGCCTACCTCAAGCCGATGCTTCAGAGGGACTTCATCAGTATGCTTCCAAGTAAGTATGACTATCATGGTCTAGTATCTAGACCTGGGAATGTATGCTTTTAAGCCAAAAGCTCCTAGACGAAACGTGACAGTTGTAATTTATGTATTCTCCGGCATTTTTTTCTATGTAATTGCTTTGCTTTATGAAGGGTTTCGATTATTGAAGCAATCAAAAAGTGCCATTTTTGTACAGTCGCGACAGCAATATGGGATGGGTAGCTTGGGGTCATTGGACGAAATTCTACGTGCTCGGCGACCGGACTATAGTCTCGACTGCTGGAGCGCGACCCTCTAATTTAACAGAGGCAAAGGCAGGATTTGGCTTACAATTCCAATGCTGGCCAAACGGGTTGGGGAGGCTTGTAGCCTTATTCACGTAAAAAAACCAACGACAACAAAACACTAAGTTGCGATCCTATCGAGTAATCGTTCTATCAAAATGACCCTTGTGAATACGGATTTAGAACTGTTTTTCAATGGATCGACTTCTGAACGTCATCGAGATCTTGGCTGTCAAAATACGTGAATTAGGCCACTGATGTTTCGCTGTCCCTAAGTCGACTCTTAAGACATCTACTCTCACTTTGGGTGGCCCTATCCTGCTTTGCCGGAACTCTCGACAGAAATAGTATTATTCCATTGCATCTGGAAATATAAACCATTCAGTTTGGACTCTAAACATCCCAACTTACAGATCATAAACTTATTGGTTTAAAAGCTACTAAAATCGAGTTTTACAGTCAGTGAAAATCTCATGAATATAGTTTAACCTCTACTGTACGCTGTCCATATAAACATGCTTCACTGAACACTTGAAGATAACATTAAATATTTTCTCCCACAGAAAAAGGCCTAGACCACGTAGCGGAGAACATACTGTCTTACCTCGACGCTCGCTCGCTTTGCGCGGCGGAGCTGGTGTGCCGCGAGTGGCAGCGCGTCATATCAGAGGGCATGCTGTGGAAGAAGCTGGTCGAGCGGAAGGTGCGCACCGACTCGCTGTGGCGCGGACTGGCCGAGCGGCGCGGCTGGTGAGTCTAATTGCGGGGGCATAAGGTCGATATTGCAGTGGCAGGGAGTAGAAACATGGGCGGTACGAAAGTGCGGACGTGGGAGCTAGAGACAAGCGAGTTTGCGTTTTATTTCTAGAGGCACAAGGTCTACATTGCTCTGACAGCTGATGCAAGAGAAATCAAGATGGCCATGGCCGGCTGGTGAGTTGATACAATGCGACTCTATTGCTAAGGACACTCGGTCTATATTGCTCTGGCAGCTGATGCTAGAGACTGAGCAGGACGAAAGTGTGAATTTGAAATCTAGATGGCCATGGCAGGCTGGTGAATTGAATCAATGAGACTCTATTGCTAAGGACATAGGGTCGCTATTTCTCTGACACCAGGCGTCAGTTGAAATTACAGAAATATGAAGAGCGAAAGTGTGGATTTAGAATCATGATGACAGGCTCGTGCGTTGATTAAGACTCTATTGCTAGGGATATAAGGTCGCTATTACTCTGGCAGCTGATGCAAGAGAAATCAAGATGGCCATGGCAGGCTGGGTTGAATCAATGAGACTCTATTGCTAGGGATATAAGGTGACAATTTCTCTGCCACTACTATCATAGTGTGCCGCGAGTGGCAGCGCGTCATATCTGAGGGCATGCTGTGGAAGAAGCTGGTCGAGCGGAAGGTGCGCACCGACTCGCTGTGGCGCGGGCTGGCCGAGCGGCGCGGCTGGTGAGTCTTATTGCAAGGGAATAAGGTTGATACATGTGGAGTGAGTCATGGGCGGGACGAAAGTGCGGACGCGGGAACAAAAGACAAGCGAGTTTGCGTCTTATTACTAGGGAGATACGGTCGCTAGTGCTCTGTCAGATGTCGCCCGTTTAAAGTAACTTAACAGGGAAGAACGAAAGTTCGAACATGGAGTCGAGAAACAAGCTAGTTTGCGTCTTATTTCTAGAGGCACAAGGTCGACATTGCTCTGGCAGCTGATGCAAGAGAAATCAAGATGGCCATGGCAGGCTGGTGAGTTGAGAATCAATGCGACTCTATTGCTAAGGACACTCGGTCTATATTGCTCTGGCAGCTGATGCACAGATGAGACAGGGACAGATAGGAAACGGCCCTATGATTGGTCCGTTCATAGTAAAAGTTCCGGCATCTATGGACTTCCATTGGGTAGCGCTAAAAAAAAAAAAAGATCGTAACTTTTTAATAACGACTGCCTTAGCGACGTTGCAGTACCGCTTTAATATATTTTATAACGAGTAACGTTACCGCACCAATAACGGTACGGGTACATTATTATTTCAAATTATTTATAGAAATAAAAAACCAAATACATAAGTTTTATTAAAAAATTTATTTCATAAAAATACAACTTAAAAACTAATGCATACAACTATCGACAAAATTACAAAGGTGGTCCTATCTTTTGAGCACTTGAGTCTGAACATGAAGTACATCTTAGAATTATCTACACGTTCGAAGATAATGTACCAAGCGGATGATTTCTTATTCCGTAAGGAAAATTACAAAATAATAATGGAATAAAAAATCATCCGCTGAACTCGATAATTATAAGTAAGCACCATAAACTTAGGAAACTATGAAATACTATTAGTAAGTAAAACTATACAGTCATTAATTCACAGAATCATCAACTGTAGGTTTTTAAGAAAAATAAAAGAAAACCTATTTATCCTCAAAATGTGATTGGCAGACCTGAAACAAAAATCAGTCAGTTCAGTCCTAGGGAAATTGCAGCAAATTTTATAGCAATTTGGAAGGTTGTTTAATAACCTAAAAATATGACTTGCCTTTCTTTGACGAAGTTGCTCCTTTGTCATAGTTCCTGATAAAGGATTTGCAGGCAGGAGGTACTGTATCCTTAGAGCCTGCAATGCTTCATCACGTGCTAGAGAAAAAACCCTGGACTTGGTGGACGAGCAACCAGTCACGATGCATTTGGTGATAATAAGAAACCATCTTGTTTATACGGTAAACAATGTAAATACGGTAAAATGACCATTATTTGTTTGCTTTTATTTCCGAATATTTCGGAATCAAGATTTTTTCTCGGAATTTCGAAAAGAATTGAGTGAATGAATGATTGATTGAATGAGCGAGCAAAATCAGCGAATGAATGAGTGGATACTGTCCTGTCAATGTCATTAAAATGACAGTTGACGTAAAGGATGCTCTTTTTTTTTTTAATTGGCCCAATCCTACAGGCTATGTTTGCTGAGATTATGTGGATGCTCCTAGAAATGACATTTGACTAACCATCTGTCAAACACTATGGCGTTTCCACCCCGTGAGCTGATGCTAGAGACATGGGTAAGGCGAAAGTGTGTGTTTGAAATCTAGATGGCCATGGCAGGCTGGTGAATTGAATCAATGACACTCTATTGCTAAGGACATAGGGTCGCTATTTCTCTGGCACCAGGCGTCAGTTGAAATTACAGAAATGGGAAGAACGAAAGTGTGGGTTTAGAATCATGATGACAGGCTCGTGCGTTGATTAAGACTCTATTGCTAGAAATATAAGCTCGCTATTGCTCTGGCAGCTGATGCAAGAGAAATCAAGATGGCCATGGCAGGCTGGTGAGTTGAATCAATGAGACTCTATTGCTAGGGAGATAAGGTGACTTTTTCTCTGCCACTACTATCATAGTGTGCCGCGAGTGGCAGCGCGTCATATCTGAGGGCATGCTGTGGAAGAAGCTGGTCGAGCGGAAGGTGCGCACCGAGCTGTGGCGCGGACTGGCCGAGCGGCGCGGCTGGTGAGTCTTATTGCTAGGAAATAAGGTCGATGTTACTTTGGCAGGTGGAGTGAGACATGGGCGGGACGAAAGTGCGGACGCGGGAGCGAGAGACAAGCGAGTTTGCGTCTTATTCCTAGGGACGCAAGGTCGCTATTGCTCTAGTCACTTGATGTAAACAAATGACAGAGCGAAAGTGTGGATCCGACTCGCTGTGGCGCGGGCTGGCCGAGCGGCGCGGCTGGTGAGTCTTATTGCGAGGGGATAAGGTCGAGGTTACTTTGGCAGGTAGAGTAGAACGAAAGTGCGGACGCGGGAACAAAAGACAAGCAAGTTTGCGTCTTATTGCTAGGAAGATACAGTCGCTATTGCTCTGGCATATCTCGTTGGTTGAAGTGTCTTAAATGGGAAGAACGAAAGTTCGAACATGGAGTCGTGAAACAAGCGAGTTTGCGTCTTATTTCTAGCAAGATACGGTCGCTATTGCTCTACCACATACTGCTAGTTGAAGTGACAAATGGAAAGAGAGAAAGTGTAGAGACATGGCGGGACGAAAGTGCGGACCTGGTACTGAGAGGAAAGCGAGTTTAGTTTAGATCTAGTAGCTAGCGTCATTAGGTCGCTATTGCTCTAGCAAAAGATGCAGTGGCGTAGGAATAACGAAGGTCGGATTTGGAATCGAAATGGCAGGCTGATATTAGTTGATTGAGATGACTATTGCTAGGAACAAAGTGACAGATTTTAAGATATAAAAAAGAAAGAAAGATATAAAAAAATAGGTAGAGCAGAAATACCTATTATACTCCATAAAGTGTAGTGGTTCGCATTCGCATTTATTCCCGCCAGTTGGCGCTACTAAAGTCCTGTTACTTGCTAGTGGCTAAGACAGTGGCGCCAACTGGTGAGCATTGAAACTACGAGTAAGAATGTCGCATTTTAACTCACTTAGTGGGCTCGTTACTGGTGTGAACTGGGAAGCCCTATGCAGCCTTAATTATTTTTATATGTCAAATTGTTACAATAAGTCAAAATGTCATTTCATTATTGTAGCCTATATTGAGTGTCTTTGTTTCAGGATACAATACCTGTTCAAGCCGAAGCCGGGCTGCCAGCATCCGTCCCACTCTTTCTACAGGCAACTCTACCCCAAAATCATACAGGACATACGATCTATCGAGGACAACTGGCGGATGGGAAGACACAACTTGCAGGTCTGTTACACTTCTTCTATTCTTAGGCCACACACATTTTATTTCTGGAATAGAATATTATACAGGGTGTTAGGTAAATGGATATATGAGCCGATACTAGCCCATGTTAACATGGGCATATAAATGGTATGGTGTAGTCAGAAATATGATATCATCATTTTATTTTTTAAATTTTCATACAAAATAAATTTTATAAAATCCGATTTGGAAACATAGGCCTCCCCCAATGCTTTCCATGTTACCCGATTGGTAGCGGCCTGCGTCCAGCGCTTTCCTGCTACCTTTATGATGTCGTCGGTCCACCTTGTGGGTGGACGTCTCACGCTGCGTTTTCCGGTAGATCCACTCCAGAACCTTTCTGCCCCATCGGCCGTCAGTTCTGCGTACTATGTGCCCTGCCCATTGCCACTTCAGCTTGCTAATCCGTCGGGCTATGTCAGCGACTTTAGTTCGTTTATGGATCTCCTCATTTCTAATTCGATCTCGTAAAGAAACACCGAGCATAGCCCTCTCCATAGCACTTTTAGCTCTTGAACCTTTATTTCAGGAACCTATGTGCTAAAAATTGTACGTTTTGTCCACAGAGGATAAATTGCAGATCTGAAAACTCCAAAGGCGTGTATTGCCTACAATACGACGACAACAAAATTGTCTCTGGTCTCAGAGACAACACCATCAAAATATGGGACAGGAAAACTTTACAGTGTGTCAAGGTAAGGCTGATTGTCTATGATTGATATCATTACCATTTGAGTTCAATATTTTTGTAGTCTCAGTACAAAAAGTTTGAAAATTTGCAATAAGTTGTTTGCGAAATGAAAATTTGCGAAACGTTGTTTGCGATGTGATAATTTGGGAAACGTTTTTTGGCCAAAAATTAGTAATCCTTCAAAACCACTTGACTACAAAAATCAGTCAAAAGTGGTTTTGACTGATGCCCTTTGTCAATATAGATGAACTACACTGAAATGTCCCACCGACGACATTGACAGAAGGGCGCCACCATCTTCGTGCAACTATATGGTTTCCACCGTGGCAAAAGTCGGAACTAGCGATCCGCTATTGACGGTGGCCCCTCTGTCAGTGTCAAATAAAGGACAGTTCAGTGTAGTTCATCTATATCACTTTTGACTGATTTGTCCAGTCAAAAGTGGTTTTAACTGTTAGGCGGTTATCACACTGCGCCGCGCTCCGCCGCGGAGCGCGGGGCGACAGATTTAATTATTGTATGCAAGTACTTCAGTTTGTATAGAAAACACGCGCGGCACTTCACACTGACAACGCGTCCGCGCGCGTGATTTTATTATTACAAGCTTTATATTGACTTCACTTGTTAGTATGTGTGGGACAAATCTTGCAACTGAATTTAAGACCAGTTCTCCTCAACCGATTGAGCTGAAATTTGGTATACTTATGTAAGTACGATGACAATGCAATATTATGGTACCATTGAGCTGGTCTGATGATGGAGTCGGGAGGTGGCTATAGGAACTCCTAAACAAAACGGCGGAAACTCATCGAATTTGGGTTCGTTGGATTTGTCTTTTCGAACATTTTAGTGTTAGATAATGTTCAGGGTCCTGAGATTAAGATATAACTAAAAAGTGTAAAATAAAATTATAATAAAAATAAACTTTTTTAAAAACAAGCTTTTATTCTGAATCTCGAAAGCTTGTAGCGCAAACAGAGAAAAAGAGGAATAAATTCCATGCGCGATACAAACTTTCGAGATTCAGAATAAAAGCTTGTTTTTAAAAAAGTTTATTTTTATTATAATTTTTTATATGAAAATCACGCGCTCCGCGGCGGTGCGCGGTGCAGTGTGATAACCGCCTGACTCTTGTTTAATATCACAAATTAAATAATATTTGAAATTTGAATTTGACTGATTTTTGCAGTCAAAAGTGGTTTTGACCAATGAGTTTTGATTCTATAATAAACACCTTTTACCTTCTCTCGGTGTATACTAGTCTCAAATATTTCTTATGTGTTCCTTTTCTTTCTGTTTTTTTGGTGTGCAATAAAGAGTATTTATTTATTATTATTATTTCTCAGGAGCTCCAAGGGCACACGGGCTCCGTCCTCTGCCTACAATACGACGAGCGCGCCATCATATCAGGCTCCTCCGACTCCACAGTCCGCGTGTGGGACGTAACAACAGGCGCCATGCTGAACACGCTCATACACCACTGCGAGGCGGTTCTTCATCTACGCTTCTGCAGCGGGATGATGGTCACTTGCAGCAAGGTGTGTCGCCGTGATCCCCTCGTGCCCTCATTGATCCCCTCGTCCTCCCATCGATCATCTCGGGCTCCTCCGACTCCACAGTCCGCGTGTGGGACGTAACAACAGGCGCCATGCTGAACACGCTCATACACCACTGCGAGGCGGTTCTTCATCT